ATAAATAAAATAAATAAAATAAATAAAATAAATAAAATAAATAAAATAAATAAAATAAAATAAAATAAATAAAATAAAATCCAGGGAGGCAGTGTTTGCAGCAGATACTTACGGCGGCAGGTGTGTTGCGTTGCATCGCCATAGTAACCCCTTTGGCAGTGTTGGCACTGGTCTCCCTCGCTATGGTAGAGGCAGCGAAGGCATTGGCCTGTGCGCCGATCGCAGGATTTGGGGTCTGCCAGATCAATGTTGTTATTACAGGTGCAGGGCTGGCATCGTCCTCTAACCTGCCAGGGGTTGCCATAATAACCAGGAGCACACTCGTCACAGCGCGGGCCTGTGTGAAAGAAGAGTGCCAGTTGGGACGGCTGGGACAAACAGGAGCAAACTCAGCAAGCACAACCAAAGAACCACCAAGGTCACTCCAGGGGTGGGTTTCTGCCAGCATTACTGCTGGTTCGGGGCACGCGCAATTTTCTCCTTGCGCTAGAGCAGTTGCCTGTAAATAGGTCTGCGCATGCGCAGAACATTAAAAATGTGGGGGGAAAAGATGTCGCGGCAACCAGGGAACTGGTTCGTGGCATGGTGAGCATGCCGTCTCTACCGGTTCGGCGACCCAGTCACTATTTCCACTACCAGTTCCACCGAACCGGTAGGAACCCACCTCTGGGTCACTCCCACCAACACTGACAGGGCAAGCCAGTAGAATATAAATTAAGCAAACACCACCCCCTACCATTGATGACGTTGCCTAGTTTGGTAATGAAACGTCTGCAAGAAAACAACCAAGCTCAGAGACCACCAGGATCCTTCATTTCAACCCCGAGCTACAAATGTTTTCCTTTATTGGAGCAAACTCACTTGTCTCCCCAACAAAATGTATTTCACCTCCCACAGTTCCCGCCTCTCAAGCCTTCCAGACTTGTATTCCGCTCTTTCAATGCAGCTGGTGTAATGAGCCATTCCCCCAACCTCGCCACAAGGTGAATGAAGACCTGCTGTTGTGGTCCGCCAGCGGCCAGCAAAGCTGACAGCAGATTCGGCAGCAGTGACGGGGTTGGGGAGGAACATGGGCCAGTCCTGGAGTCTGGAGAAGGCTCTGATGAGGGCGCTGTGTCAAAGGCAGAGAGGGGGCCAGAGCTGCAAGCCAGTTATTGGCAGCCTTCAGACTCAGACATCAGTGAGGCAGACGAACAGATGGAGCCTGTTCCCAGTGTCCGCATGCGCAGAGTTGCCAGATGAAGGGAACAACTAAAGAACAGGAGTCAACTTGGGAGTAAGGCCACAGGTGGACGATGAATGGCCCCTCCCAGAGGAAATAAAAGAGGAGCGAAAGCAGAGTGGAGTTTGCAGGAGACAATTCATTCGCTTAATTGATTTGTGACTCTTTGAGACTCCTTGCTAAGTTCTGCAGCTCTGCAGTTCAGCCTGGCAGCTCTCCAAGCCAGATAAGGTCTGTGACTGTAAATCCTCCCTTGAAAGACTTTGCGGTGAATGAGCAGAAATCACAGTAAATTAATAAAAGGTGCCCCAAAGCTGGACTTGCCTGTATAACCTCCAAGGCAGCTGCACCTCACAGTTCCGGAGGGGTTGTCTTGATGGCAAGTGACTGCAAAATTGCGCCCGGAGCCAGGAGCCTCGGGGCAAGGGCAAGGACGGCATTGGCCACCCAAGGACAGCGCTGGGTTCCCATAGTAGCCACTGACACATCTGCACATGAGGGAAGAGATTGTTTTAGGAACACGTGATTTTATTTCTACTTTATTTATTTATTTGTATACCTGCCCAACACACCTCCTTCCTCCTATTTTCCCCACAACAACAACAACTGTGAGGCGAATTGGGCTGGGAGAGAGTGACTGGCTCAAAGTCGCCCAGTTGGTTTTCATGGCTAAGATGGGACTAAAACTCTCCTCCATTACATCTTCATACAAGATTTCTACTTCCGGTTTGGTTTCTTTCGCTTCTTTCCTCTTCTTCCCATATCCATTTGTTCCCAAGATCTAGTTTTGATACTTACTACACAATGCTTTTACTCAGCAAGGTCTACTCGTTTGATCTCTACTACACGAGAGGCAATGTGCTATTTGTACTTAGTGTATTTATTTAGGACTGAAAAGGAAAAATGATTGTATACGAAGCTTTCACCTCTTACAAGAAAATCAATTTGAATGGTGGTCAAGTTCTGGTGCTTTTATAGTTTTGTATGTAGTTTCTTTTTTTTTAGTTTTTTAAAAGTTTTTTTAGGTTTTTTTTGGGGGGGGCAAAATACTGAGCGGTGGCTCTGTGGCTAAGACGCTGAGTTTGTCAATCAGAAAGGTTGGTGGTTCGGTGGTTTGAATCTCTAGCACCGCATAACGGAGTGAGCTCCTGTTGCTTGTCCCAGCTTCTGCCAACCTAGCAGTTTGAAAGCATGTAAAAACGCAAGTAGAAAAATAGGGACCCTCTTTGGGAAGGTAACAGCATTCCATGTGCCTTCGCCGTTTAGTCATGCCGGCCACATGACCACTGAGACGTCTTTGGACAGCGCTGGCTCTTCAGCTTTGAAACGGAGATGAGCACCGCCCCCTAGAGTATGTGTGCGAGGGGAACCTTTATCTTTACCTTCCCCTAAAGTGTGTGTTTTTCAACTTACATATTAGCCTTCAGCTATAATATTATCTAGGAGGTTTGTCATCTAACAATCAAAGAAGCCCAACCTTGTTTAGTGTCCGAGCCTGAGAGAGCCATTGGATGATAACTCCTAGGCAAATGGCAGGATTGTGATGAATCATTCACGGTATACATAGTTATGTGTTGTGGCCCAGCAGGAGCCGTTGGAGCTGCAAACAGACTCCCGACAGCGAGGGGCCCTATGAGTCGGCTCTGGAAGATATGGAGGACCCTGGACAGGGTTCAGACTCCGAGCAGGGACCAGAGAGGCTGGTTGGCCACCATGAGGCACCTGAGGCATCGAGCAGTGGTGAAGATGTCAGGCCTTGGAGCAGTGGGGAGAAGCTAAGGGAGTTGGTACCAGATGCCAGGCAAAGGTGGGCAGATAAACGCCGAGAGCAACTACGCAAATACAGAAGATAATTGGACTCAGGTGGTTGTAATTAGGCCCCTCCCAAGAGAGTATATAAGGAGAGACTTTGGGAGGAGGCTGTTTGCAGGATTCAACTAATATACCAAGGCTGGAGAAGCTCTTGTGTGTATTTCTTATCTCGGAAGTCTGGATTGCTGCCAAAGTTTTGTCGGTGTGTTAATTTACTATAAATAAATTGTCTAGCAGTAGTCTTGTCTTGGAATGCCTTGGCGTACGGAGGGGGGGGGGTCAGAACTGTTATGCGTCCTTTTTTTGCAACTAGATTTTCTAAATTATCTTTCACAACTAAAAGGTAGTGTACTGTATGACTCAATTGTGATCATAAGTCAAGGACTATCTGCATTCTAGGCTGCTGTTACTCTTGAAATCCATGCAGGAGGTCACAGATGGACTTATGCCTATTAGCTAATGGCCAGCTCTCAGCACCCCCAACCATTCCTGCCTTACCTCTCACACCAATTTCCTTCCGTGTGGCCCCGGCAATGCAAACAGCTGCCTGTCCGTTGCTCACATTCTTCTGCTCGGCCATTACACTGGCATGGCCGGCAGTTTGGGAAGCCCCAGTGACCGGCCTGGCAGTGGTCGCAGCGAAGCCCAAAAACACCTGCCCGGCAAGGACACTGTCCACTGAAGTTGTCACAAAAGCTGCTCTGGGACCCTTGGCTGCTGCACTGGCATGCTGGAAAGGGAAAGAGAAATCACATCATGACAAGCCCTTGGGAGTTTCCATTATGGGATGAAGGAAGGCGGAACAGGCCCCAATGGTTCAAAAAGCAAAACAGATGGAAATTAGAAGTGAATCATAACAATAACAATAGCATCAGTGGTGGGTTCTGGCGGGTACGCCCCGGTACGGGTGTACTGGTGGCAGCTGGGATCAGCAGTATCAGAACAGTGTTTTGTTGGGCCCACCCAGTCGGCCGCATTCACCACCTGTTTTTAAGCCAACATGGCCACTTACGCACGTACGCACAGCGCACGGTGCCTGCGTGACCTCCGCCAAGCAGCTGGAGCATCGCAGGGTGGTGGGTGCTCCTGCATGTGCAGCGCACGTGCCCGAAGTGGACACTTGGCCCCGTCGCAGCGTACCGGTTACAAAGGGATCCGGAACCCACCACTGAATAGCATGTAGGCTTATTTATACATAGTGGTGGGATCCTACCGGTTTAACACCCGGTGATCACGCGCTTCACTGTGTGCACAGTTTGAGTTCTAGTCTTAGGCATAAAGCCAGCTGGGTGAAGACTTCCAGCTCTATTCTGATTGATTGATTAAAAAACATCCACCAGTGTCTCAGACACTGAGCTTGTCGATCAGAAAAGTCAGCAATTTGGCCGTTCGAAGCCCTAGTGCCGCTTAACGGAGTGAGCTCCCATTACTTGTCTCAGCTTCTGCCAACCTAGCAGTTCGAAAGGACGTAAAAGTGCAAGTAGAAAAATAGGGACCACCTTTGGTGGGAAGGTAACAGCGTTCCATATATCTTTGGCGTTTAGTCATGCCGGCCACATGACCATGGAGACGTCTTCGGACAGCGCTGGCTCTTCGGCTTTGACAGGGAGATGAGCACACACACCCCTTAGAGGTGGGAATGACTAGCACATATGTGCAAGGGGAACCTTTATGTTTATCTTACATGGAAAAGGGCTGAAGTTTCCATAGAGGACCACTTCCCACTAAATACATTTTCAAAAATAGAGATGGAGATAGGAGGGTGAACTTCATCCTGTCCTTGCAAGCTGCTTCTTCACCCCAACAAGCCCCACCTAAACAATTTCCATCACCTCTAACGGTACTTCCAGTCAACGCTCAGTCAGCAAAAGCAGCCCGCTTAGATCGATATTTCTGTACTGTCTCAAGCAGCACATGAGCTGGACTGGCAGGGACGGATCTGTGCTTTAAAGGAGAAAGGAAGCCGAGTTTCACTCACACTTGCATCCCCCAGGCCCAAAGCCGAAGGTGCCAGGAGCGCAGCGTTCACAGCGGCGGCCCATGACGTGAGGCTTGCACTGACACTGTCCGCCACTTGGGTTGCACTCGAGACTCAGAGATCCCTGGAGATCACACTGGCAGGCTGGAGACAGAGGAAAGAACAAGCAGCAGAGAAAAAGGACTTGATGCTCTTTGGTGATAAGCTCCTTCGTTTCTCCTTCCCACTGGCACAGAAATGGACCTGAGGCCCACGTGACCCTGTATCCCCTCTCTCCATTATGTAAGGGGGAAAATCTGAAGGTGTTTTGCCAGGGTCAGCCCTGTCTGTGCTTGCACAAGAGCAGCCAGGATTCTTCTCCCTGAGCTCAGTTAGCTCACTCACTTGGACCATTTGCCTCTTGGCTGTGAAAGAACAGAAAGCTAAACAGGCATAGTTTACCGTATTTTTCAGAGTATAAGACCCACCAAGATTTTGAAGAGGCAAATTTTTAAAAAAGTTTTGGCACTCTGCAGACCTCCCAAAAATGGCCCATTTTTCAAAAAAAAAAAGACGGCATGCATAGCCTTTAGGAGGCTTGTAGAGTGCTCCTGGGGCTGGTGGGGGGGAGATAAACGAGCAAAAATAGGTCCATTTTTCGTTCACTATTCCCCTCCCCAGCCCCCAGGAGCACTCTGGAAGCCTCCTAAAAGCTATGCACGGCCATTTTTGCAAAGTGGGCGGGGTTTCGGGAGGCGAAAAATGCTGTATAAGTGTGTAAGACTGCACCTAGATTTTCACCCTTTTTTGAGGGAAAAAGGTGCGTCTTGTACTCTGAAAAATACGGTATATCCCATTACCAGTCCCAAAGGTTTCTATTCTGACTTGATGGTCTTGCCTTCCCCAAGCCCCAACCCCTTCTCCATATCATCAAGGAAAGCAAGTCCCAATCATAGCACCACTGTCATTGGCAATAGACTTGGAGGCGGCTCAGCATATGGATTTGTGGTCTACCTGTTTTCTCCCTGCTTCCCTTCCTGCCTCTCCCAGCTGGAAGGCCACCTGGGAGAGGTAGCAGGCGAGTTGCATGCCAGATCTGAGCTGGTCTCTGCCTTGGCTTGCTGCCCACAAAAACAGCTGTCAGGGTTCTGGGCCCGATGGATCTCTGCTGCTGTTTCATAATGCAATCCCGCAGTTCCCGTTAGCTATGGTTCAGGTTGACTTTGAACGCAGTTTTAGCATTCCTCCGGGCTTCAGAGAAAAGCCATAGACCCGTGTTCAAAGGCAGCCTGAACAATAGCTGGCAGGCACTGGGTGCGCATCTGAGACAGCTGAGATCCAGTTTGCTCTCCCTTATTTCACCACACAGCCATCCTTCCGCCATTGGTCAGCTGCTTTTCGGATTGCAGCCGCAGTAAAGCTACTGCAACCTATTGGCTGCTAAAAGGAAAACTCTTAACATTGGGATTACAGACATATAGGCTGGGAACAAGGTCAAAGCAACCTCATGAAGACCTCAGATAAAGGGGGTTGCCAGGACATATTCACACTTTGCTAAGATACATGTGGGGGAAGTCTTAGAGCAGGGATGGTAAAACTTTTTCGCCTCAGGTGCCAAAAGGACGCACACACGCGCTATCGCATGCGCAAGGGTGCCCACATTCATAATTTAATGTTCCCCCCATACCGTGCCCCCCGTGCATGTGTATGTGACCCCCCCGCTGCCCCACGCATGGCTTTTTGGGATCCTGGGGAGGCCGAAAATGCCTTCCCAGAGCCTCTGCATGGGACCTGTACTTACCTGACATCACATGGAGACTGCTGGGAAGGGAAGGGCAGCGTGGGTGGGGCAGTTGAAAATCAGCTGGCCAGCACGCACGTAATTGGTAGGAGCCGAGCTAGGGCAATGGCGACAGCGTTGCCACCTGTGGCATGTGTGCCATAGGTTCTCTATCATGGGTCTAGAGCAGGCGTGTCAAAATCAAGGCCCCCATGGGGTGCTTAGATCTGACCTGAGGGGCCACCCTGGAATCAGCAAAGGACCGACCCATGCGTGGCCCCACCCCCTGGGCTCCGTTTTCGCTGGCAGAGGACTGCAGGGGGTGGTTGCAGCCGAAAATGGAGTGAGTGACATGGAGCTGGTAAGCCACCCCCCACCCTGGCCACCCCCCGAGGTCAAACAGAACCCTGATGCAGCCCTCAAGGAAATTGAGTTTGGCATCCCTGGTCTAGAGTCTCTAGGAACTGTCTCTCCCATCCCATTAGGGCTTCACTTTGAACTTTCCCCGTCTTCCTCTGAGTGAGTGGGAAAGCCTCCCTTAGTACATGAATGATTTCTTCTGGGTCGAGCCCCTGGGTTGCGGTTGTATCTGGGCAATTTAACACTCACGGAGTGCCCCCTGGTGAATGATGGCTGACATGCTGGTGAGCAACTTGGCGCAAGCTTCCGGGGTGGGCCCCTTAATCACGGGGTGAGCCTGCTGGGCACAGCGGTAGCGCTCAAAGGTCTCTTTGCGAGCAATAGAGGCGGCATCCCCGGCAATGAACATCTCCAAGGAGGAGTAACGTGGCACCAGAACCAACTTCCAAGGAAGAGAAGGAGAGAGGGAGAGAAGAGGATATGGTTGGGTATTTGCAACTGGTTCCTCCAGCTATGGCCCTCCCTCCACTAGGGGTGCCAGGGTTAACCAATCTCAGTACTTACAGAGTCCAATAGTACAGCAGCGCCTTTCAAATGCTCACGTCCTCCGTAATGGGTAAACTCTACTCTTATGGTGTACCTGATTCCTTGTTCTAGACAGACTGGCTGTGACAGCACAATGTACCTGTGGAATGAGAATGCCAAATCACTTCACAGAGGTCTCCAGCACCTACCTCACGTACCCTCAAAGTTACAGCATTTGCAGTGCCCCCTGTTGTCACATGATCACATACCAGGTGTTTGGTAAATGGCCCGCATTTCCAAATGTTTCAGCAACCCACAGCTGCTCCAGATTTCTGGGATTCCTTTGCAGCTTCCCACAAGCAAGGTCAACAAGGAAGCCAGCAGGAAGTTAGGCATCCTGGTTACAATAGAATACAATAGCAGAGTTGGAAGGGACCTTGGAGGTCTTCTAGTCCAACCCCC